TTTATTTGTAGCGTCTGCATACGTAAAATGTGTTCCGCTCTGAAATTCCCAAAGTTTTCAATGGTTTTCAACTCTTAACAGATTTCTGGGACTGTAAAGGCAATTTCAAGTGACTCACCAAGCAAAGATATTAATACCCAATTCACAAGGGTACCATTGAAACCTTTATCTGATCAAAAATGTGGAAGATATTGTCTTTGTTCTAAGTTTAAATGTGTTGAATTCTGATAATTCTTCGTTGTTTTTCTGTCCTAGAAATGCGCAAGTCACTTAAGGAAAAATAATTATCTTTAAAAATTTCAAACATTGATTTCTATAATCATGCTCAATCAGACAAAGCTTTTTAGAATACCATTGTGAATTCAGCATTGTCAACTTTGCATAAAGGTTCGTTAGCGCTAACAGTCCCTTTAAAAAAGGTTTACATAAGACCTTAAAAGGGACGTAAAGAAAAATGAAACCTGAGAATCTCAGACGTTGAACGATACATATAAGACATCTATCTGATGTTCCTTTCTCAAGAAATTGATATAAAACTGTGTCAAGTTTATACGAAATTTCATATATATGCAGTTTTGTATAAAAGTTGTAGTGTTAAACGGCTCAGTAACATTTCGTCTAGTACACTTTCGTCTAATAACTGGTCACGTGATTTCTGTCTGTATCATGTGACCAGCATACTGCACTGCCATTGGCTGAAGTTCTGGTGACGTAATACTGACTATACAAACTATATGTAATAATATTATCAATTATATCTATTAAAAGGCAAAATAAAAAAATTATAATATGAGCAAACCTGAGATTCTCAGGCTCCTGTGGGATATTGTCGCTTTCAGATTAGTTTCATATTTGTTGAATATAATCTGTTTAATACTACAACCCAGGGTTAGTACATCCAGGTTTAATACCCAGGGTTAGTTCATTCAGGTTTAGTATCCAGGGTTATTTCATTTAGGCTTAATACCCAGGGTTAGTTCATTTAGGTTTAATAAAGGGTTAACGTCGGACCAGTACAAACGTAAGACAAGTACAAACGTCGGACCAGTACAAACGTCGGACTAATGCAAAAAAAACTTTATTTGACTTTTAAGATTTTTTGGTTTAAAAGTTATTTTTCTTTTATTGAATGGGTTCTTTTTACTAAATCAGAATTCTCATCCCTATATTTTTGCAACCTGATGGTATTAATCTTTGTTACCAACAAAGGGTTTGAGACTTATTTAGTTATCTTTGATTTTTATCAAGATAAGTGAGTGATTTTAAATGTATTTCTTAATGCATTCTTTTTTTTTAAATGTACCCGTCCGATGTTTGTACTGGTCTGACGTTTGTACTTATCCGACGTTTGTACCAGTCTGACGTTTGTCCCAGTCTGACGTTTGTACCAGTCTGACGTTTTTAAGTCCGATGTTTGTACTGTCTGACCTTTGTTCCGTCCGACGTTTGCATTGGTATGGTACCGTATAGTATACATAGTACATACACCCTCTACATAAATAAATGTATATTGTACATACATATTATAATTGTATTAAACAAAGCTCTGCAAAGGACTAATAGACATTAAAAAAAAAATCATTACATAATTGTAAAGAGCTACTATTAAAACTTCCATGCAGAAACTCAAGTTTTTTAAGTATTATGCAGTGCGCATTTTAGGGTTAATGCTTGAAGATAATTCAATATGATATGGGACGTTCTGTATGTTAACCCTAAAGAAAGAAACACTGTGTAAAAGAAAGTCTTTGAAAAAGGTTCTCAATTGATATTCAGCTACATTAATGGGCGTATTCAGGAATTTGTCCAGGGGGGGCTTA